TATGGATGTGCATGTGGAAAAGCTTACTGCTACTCGGTTGGCACCGGTAACTTAAAATTTAAGACATTAAAATATTTTATACCTTATTATATGTTATAATTTTATACATTGAAGTATGAAATTAATAATGGTTGAATAAGAAGGTATTAGATGAGAAGAATCGCTAAGTTGTAAAATTGGGTTAGACGTTTTGCCACAAGGGTTCGAAATCAGTGCTTAATCTTGAATTAAACTGCGTATCATCCTCTTATAAATTGAGTATAGTATATTAAAATAAGTAATTAAATATTAGGTGTATGAAATTATTTATATTTCATTAAAGTTATGTTAATTAGGGGAACTAAGACCTACCCTTAGTTTGAACTTTAGGAATTTGATTTTATAATTAGGTGAGTTTTTGGGTCTAGGCTAAATATAGAATAATCTGAGTGTTTATAGACTTGTTAACTTACAAATTGTGCATATATATACTTGATAGATTGGAAAGGTTCGGAGCCAATAAGGAAAGGGAAGGCATTGGAGAAGTAGTTACTTGACTTCAATTCTTCGGTGGAGGTAGGTTATGGTTTATGCTATTTGATAGTAAACTCTTAATAGTGATTGATATGCCTTGAATGATATTGTGAAGTTCTCTATGTACTTGACTGTGTGATTGTGTGATTTGGTTGTGTGGTTTGTGATTGGTCTGAAATCCTGAGACCGTAGAATTTATATTCTCTAATCCTATCTATCGAAGTGATGCCTTGAATAAAGAAGGCTTGATGAAAATAATATAACAATTAATTGAAAGCGGTGATAATAAAGGATAAATTAGTAGTATAATTGTATCGGAGTGTCACGTTCCGACACCGTATTCTTGGATCGGAGTGTCATGTTCCGACACGGTATTTTTGAATCGGAGTGTCACGTTCCGGCGCGGTATTCTTGGATCGGAGTGTCACGTTCCGACACAGTATTCTTGGATCGGAGTGTCACGTTCCGACACAGTTTTTTTAGATCGGAGTGTCACGTTCCGATACGGTATTCTTGGATCGGAGTGTCACATTCCGACATGGTATTTTTGGATCGGAGTGTCACGTTCTGACACGGTATTCTTGGATCGAAGTGTCACGTTCTGATATAGTATTCTTGGATCAGAGTGTCACGTTCCGACACGATATTTTGGAATCGGAGTGTCATGTTCCGACACGATAATATTAAAGGAAAAAAATGTTGAATTAATGGAAGATAATCAATCTCAAAGACTTCAACTCCCAAAATGGTTTGGTTTGGAGGCATGAGTCCTCATGTGTGATGTTGATACCGTTGACTTAATACGTTCTTACTTTATTGTTATTGACACTTGTTCATGTTGTTTGTTGCTTATCACAAGTTAAGTGCTATAGTTGAGTTCATACTATTATTCTTTGTATATTAGTTACTATTTTGGGTTGACCGATGATACTTACTCAATACATGTTGCCTCGTACTGAGTCGTACTTGTTTTCTTCTTTGTTTTCCTTTTATGAAATGCAGTGAGTGTACCTATGACTTCTGATTTCCTTCGGCTCTAGCCAGCCTCCCGCATATCAAGTTACAGGGTGAGCTATCCATTCAAGCTCGTGTTGGATTCTCTCGGTCATGACATGATGTCCTATACTTTCGGACACATACCATTTTCTTCTTTATTTTAGTGTATTCGATATTCTTAGATTTAGTATTGGAGATTAAATGTCCTTGATGTGATGACTATCAGATTTTGGGATGATAAGTATTAAACTTTAGAAACTTATTTAAATTGGTTGCTTAGTATCTTTTGGAGCTTCCGCATTATTTATATTATTTATAGTTGAACTATTTGTATATGTTGGGGTTTAGATGTATTGGTTCGCCCACCTAAGGAGATAAGTGTGGGTGCCATTCAGGACCCGTTTTGGGTCGTGACAGAATTATTAAAAGTATTAATAAATATTGAAGGAACAACAGAACAAGAAATAATAATTGGAGGTATATCAATGATAATAAAATTTAAAGTATATCAAGGAAATGAAAATATAACATTAGGAATAAAATGGTTAGAACAAGTAACACCATATAATATAGAGGATAAACAACTAACGATAAATTATCAAAGTAAAAAAGTCATAATAAAAAGGACTTTAATATAAAAAAGTACATATGAAAATATATGTACTCGCGAAGATAATAATAGAAGGATATTATAATAGATATTATACATCAATGATAGATACTAGAGCAGAGGCTAATATATGTAAATACAATTGTTTACCAGAAGAAAAATGGGAAAAAAATAAAAAACATCAATAGTAGTAACAGAATTTAATAATGAAGGAAGTACGGTTACATAAGGAAAAAAAATATAAAAATACAAATATGTGATAAAGTATTAACTGTAGACGAAATATATAATTTTGAATAAACAACAAAGGATATGTTATTAGGAATGCCATTTTTAGAAAAATTATATCCACATATAATAACAAAAACACACTGGTGGTTCACAAAACCATGTAAACAAAAGATAGGAGAAAAAAGAGTAGGTAACAAAAGAAGAAAAACAACAGAATGGATTAAAGGCAGTGAAAAAATTACACAAAAATTAGAAAATATAAAAGAAGAAGACCTAGAATAGAATTAATTATATTTTCCATAGATAAAGTAAAAATAATCCAAGAAAAATTAGAATTATTATATAACGAAGATCCTTTACAAGGATGGGAAAAACATAAAACAGAAGCCAAAATTGAACTGATTGATGAAAATAGTATAATAACACAAAAACCATTAAAATATAATTTCAATGATTTAAATGAATTTAAAATACATATAAGTGAATTACTAAAAAATGGATATATACAAGAAAGTAATAGTAAACATACAAGTTCGGCATTTATTGTTAATAAATATAGTGAACAAAAAAGAGGAAAAAGTAGAATAGTAATTGATTATAGAAATTTAAATGCAAAAACTAAAACATATAATTATCCAATATCAAATAAAATATTAAAGATAAGACAAATACAAGTATATAATTACTTTATTAAATTTGATTGTAAACAAGATTTTATCATTTAAAGTTAGAAGAAGAATCTAAAAAACTTACAACATTCACAGTACCTCAAGGATTTTATGAATGGAATGTATTACCATTTAGATATAAAATGCACCAGTTAGATTTCAACATTTTATGGATAACTATTTTAAACAACTAGAAAATTGTGTAGTATATATTGATAATATATTATTATATTCTAAAACACAAGATGAACACATAAGATTATTAGAAAAATTTATACGTATAATACAACAACTCAGGAATAAGTTTAAGTAAAAAGAAAGCAGAAGTAATGAAAAAACCAATAGAATTCCTAGCAATACAAATATATAAAAATGGAATAAAAATGCAAACGCATATAGTACAAATAATAATAACCTCGAATGAACAATTACATACAAAAAAGAAATTACAATCTTCTTTAGGATTGGTTAACCAAGTAAGAGAATATATACCAAAATTAGCAGAAAATTTAAAACCATTACAACAAAAACTAAAGAAAGATATAGAATATCATTTTGATAATAGAGATCAAATACAAATACAAAAGATAAAATTATTATGTAAAACATTACCAAAATTATATTTTCCGAATGAAGATAAAAAATTTATTTATATAGTAGAAACTTATGCAAGTGAAATAAGTTATGGAGTAGTATTAAAATATAAATATAATGATAATAATATAAAATATCACTGTAGATATTATTGAGACACATATACAAATACCGAAATAAAATGAGAAATAAATAAGAAAGAATTATTTTCAGTATATAAATGTTTATTAGCATTTGAGCCATATATTGTATATAACAAATTTATTGTGAGAACAGATAATACACAAGTAAAATGGTGGTTAACAAGAAAAATACAAGATTCAGTAACAACGAAAGAAATTAGAAAATTGGTATTAAATATATTAAACTTTACATTTACAATTGAAGTGATAAAGACTAATAAAATGGTGTTGCAGACTACTTATTAAGACAAAGCTACTCAGACTACTGAGAACAAAGACGAAGATACAATTGAAAAGCTACTCAAAGCCATTACTACACTTTGTATAAAGTGGATAGTATGGACAATGAGATACAAAAGCTAAAGACTAATGAAGATAACCTGAAGTCTAAAGATAATATAAGTCAGCAACATGACTATAAAACTGCGGAGCTACTTCGATCGGAAGACGGTAAAATTCCTGAGATAAAAGGCGACGATAGGAAACTCCCTAAAATCCATAATGTTTGTTTAAATACAGCTGCAGGTACAAGCAGAAAAGTTAGTGAAAAATCACGAAATACAAATTTAAACCGGTTATTTGTAAAACTATTTATTCAAAATACACCAAAACAAATACCCATAGAACCACAAACTTCTACGTATGTAGTGAGTATACAAAATTAGAGTGAAAAGAAAAGATACAATTATATTATACAAACAAACATTAAAAATATATATATAATCCAAACTCATTTAAATCTCAACCCGAGATCTAACCAAACAAAATATCAAAGTCAAGACTATATAACTCAAAAGTTATAAGGATATAATAGACTTATAGCACAACCAAAAACTAGTGCTAATCTAGTTAAGACATGTTACAATTATGGATTACTAAGTACAGTATAATCATATGACGGAGAAGAAAATCAGTGGAATACCAGAGTTATACAAAACATTTATTACATATAAAAGAGTTGCAAAAGGAAACTTAATTTATATTAAATTTTATACAGCACCAGCGCAAATATTATATGAGGAGGTAAAATCTCCAATTCAAGTTATTAAGATAGGATTGACAAAAGATATGATCATAGGAAAGAATTATTTTCAGTGTATAAATATTTATTAGCATTTGAGCCATATATTGTATATAACAAATTTATTGTGAGAACAGATAATACACAAGTAAAATGGTGGTTAACCAGAAAAATACAAAATTCAGTAACAATAAAAGAAATTAGAAGATTGGTATTAAATATATTAAACTTTACATTTACAATTGAATTGATAAAGACTAATAAGAATGGTGTTGCAAACTAGTTATCAAGACAAAGCTACTCAGACTAAGAACAAAGACGAAGATACAATTACAAAGTGACTTAAAGCCATTACTACACTTTGTACTATAGTGGATAGTATGGACAATGAGATACAAAAGCTAAAGACTAATGAAGATAACCTGAAGTCTAAAGCTAATATAAGTCAGCAGCATGACTATAAAAATGCGGAGCTACGACGATCAGAAGACGGTAACATTCCTGAGATAAAAGGAGACGATGGAAAAATCCCTAAAAATCATAATGTTTTTTTAAATACAGCTGCAGGTACAAGCAGAAAAGTTAGTGAAAAACTACGAAATACAAATTTAAACCAGTTATTTGTAAAACCATTTATTCAAATTACATCAAAACAAATACTCATAGAACCACAAACTTCTACCTGTGCAGTGAGTATACAAAACCAGAGTGAAAGAAAAGATACAATTATATTACACAAACCTACATTGAAAAGATATATAGAATCCAAACTTATTTAATTCTCTACCCAGATGTAACCAAACCAAAGATCCAAGTCAAGACTATATAACTCAAAAATTACAAATATACAATAGACTTAGAGCACAAAAAAAAATCAGCTAATCTAGTTAAGACATGTTACAATTATGGATTACTAAGTACAGTATATACATATGATGGAGAAGAAATTAGTGGAATACCAGAGTTATACAAAGCATTTATTACACATAAAAGAGTTACAAAAGGAAACTTATTTTATATTAAGTTGTATACAGCACCAGCAGAAATATTATATGAGGAGGTAAAATCTCCAATTCATGTTATTAAGATAGGATTGACAAAAGGTATGATCATACCAGAAGATATTGGACATCAGAATGAAATACCAAAGATAGAAATACCAGGTTTTTATGCCAGTAAAAGAATAATTGGTGTATCAACTATCATACAAGAATTAGCAAATAATTATTTAAATGAAAATGCCATATGGAGTTATTACTCTAGAGATCATGTTATGATAAATTCAAACTCAAGGGAATTAAGAAGAGCAGATATGGATGAAGTTCAGCGATGAATTTTTTCATTATTAAAGACAGAGGAACAACCTACAACACAAGCATTAAAGAAAGAATTTATCTCAGAAGACTTATTAATTAGATATTGTAAACTTATTGGACACAAATATCCATATCATAGATGTTTCAAATGCAATGGAGAAGATAAGGTTATACCAGATGTTGATTTGGAATAAAGAAAAATAGATAATCATAAAAGATGGAGGAGAAAAAGAGATAAAGATAACAAGGACAAAAGCAGATACAAACAAAGGACATAAGGTGGTAGACAAGATAAAAAGAAAGTTTGAAATTATGTAAAGATAAGTGGTAGACAAAGATAAAAGCAAAAAGATAAGATTCCTTTGTATATAGCTTTTACTTTTTAATAGACCAATGTATAGCGGTCATTTGTAAAGTTTTGTAAAATAGTCGTAAGTATACAGTAGGCACAATTATGTGTAGGTTTAGAATTTAGTATATATAGATTGCCAAACTGTAAATGAGAGGCAGGCAAGACCAAACAAAAGCTTAAGTTAATAAAAAGCCTTTCAAAAACCTCTCTCGACAAAAGATATAGACTAAGTTAAAAATGGAGAAATCCGAAATCAAGTCAAATATTTTAGATAGCATGGAAAATCAAGAGACAAAGGTATATTGTTTAACAATTATGCAGAACTAATTTCATATATTCCTGAATATCATATATGATTGATTAAATTTATGTTATTGAATATATAGTAGAAATATTTGAATCATGAATTCTAGTTTGCTAGTAAACGGGAAACAGGGAGAAAACTGCTAGACTATGTCATCCCACAGTGGAAACCGGTAGGCGGGGGATGCCGTTAGGGGAGTACACAAGGTTGAGGCGCTGATAAGCAATAATTATCTGCTAAAGTACGATACTAGTAGTGACCTAAAAACATGATAATGATACTCTAGTTTAAAATAAACTAATATGAATTTAATTGAATTATGATATGATAGGAAGGAATAATTGAAAACAAACCTGAATAAATAAATAAACATGATTACATTGTATGATGAAATAAAAAGCTATAAAACTTTGATCTTATATATAGTTAAAGATATAGAAATTGTTGACATAAAAAGAATTATATGGGAAAAATATTTGATCATGATATAGAAGATATATTAAATAAAGAATGGTATGAAATAGATTTACAAGAATTAGATATAGATATATACGATTTAAAAATAGATTTAGATTAAAATGAACTATGACTATTTATAATATTGGATGGAAACTATGGAAAATATAAGATTATAATGTCCGTGTAAGTTTTTATTTATGGGTGTAAAGAGCACCACATTCATGACTAAGAGGTTACACACCTCCTTTTCACACTCGACTTAATTTGTCACTTGTCATGAACTAAAGGTTATCTAGCATAATAGATTTCCTTTTCAACTGTTTGAGTTGAACTACAAGCAGCTTGATTCCTTGAGTTTAAGGATATGTAGGCAAGCTCAATGTTGAAAACTCAACTGTATTCCAACTCTCGCTCTTGAATATTACTCACGAGCATTTCGATCCCTTCATAATTTGGTGTCGAGATGACTTGTGAATTCTTTCAAAATCATGTCTTAACTCAAGCGTATTGAACTACAAGTGACCTGAATTCTCATATTTCCTAAGATATGCAGGAAACTCGTTTTGGGGTTCGGCCATAACTCTTGAATTCCTAGCCAAATCCTTTTTTTAAGAATATATATGTGGTCGGTTAAAATCTGTTTGGTCAACTTCATTTTCCTCGAATTTCTTGTATCAATTCAAAAAAAATGAGGGACAGTTGCTGACACTCAATTTTGGCCCTCCACGATAATAATCAATCAACGAGCTTCTTAATTCTAACCGATTTTAAAAATAATTAGATTTTATAAAGTTTAAAATATTTTAAGTTAATTTTAATTAATCTCATCACCTTTTTTAGATAGAGTATGTATTTTACTTAGTTATGTATATAACTAGTATATTTTGTGATTATTTGAAAATCGTCTCAAAAGGATTTTATTTTGGGTTCAATACTTTACTAAATTAGTTTACACTTTCGGATTAATTACATCTTAATTAAGTCGATTACTTTATTTCGTCAAACGTAAGAAGCTTGTTAATTAATTTTTATCAGTTCATTTTTTATTTACCTACTATCAAAAAACACTTTGCAAAAAATATATTTTGGGTTTTTCTCTCAATTTTTTTCAGCAACTCACTCCACATCCTCAGCCAGTTCTCCAGCTCAATTCCAAATCCCTTCTACTGCAGCCAGCCCAAATTTTTCAGCCCAACGGCTTCATTGAAATATCCCAATTTCCCAGCCCACTCTTCCAATAATTAATCCATTCAACCCCAGCCCAATTTTGGGCCCAACATTATGTCAACCCGATCCAAATCCCTTTTGCTCATCACCAAAATGAATTCTGCGATGCTAGAGATAAGAAGTCAGAGGCAGCATCGCGTTCTTCACGCGTTACGTAGCAGCGGTGCGCGTTCCTCCATGGCTCAACCCCTCCCCTGTGTTCGCATTTCTCCCCTTTGATGCGTGAATTAGCAACGCGCTTCAATGCGACTAGTCTCCTTTTCGAGATGGTACGAGTTGGAGCAGTTTTTCCCAAATCCAACTGTTTCTCAGTCAATACAGCCGTGGAAATCGTCCTTGGCTCGCGTGGATGGGCGCCATGTCAAGGCGCAGGGACGATCGATTGATCTATGCCGCCTACGTCCCTTTCTTCTTTTGTTTTTTTGCTTAAAATTGACGAATCTTTCGTAAAGAAAATATAGATTTTCCTTGTCCTGTGGAGGGATTTGAATTTCGAAATGAATTCAGATTTTTTTTACCTTGGTTCTTATCTGAATTTCCCCAGATTCCTGCCCAAGAAAACCCTAAATCTTCTTCTGTAAATAATCTCTTTCTCCTTGAGGGGGGGAATTTATTTATTTTTTTACTTTTTTGCTTTAGAGGAGAATTTGTTTTGATATAGAGTAAAAATTTTCTTTTAGGGTGAAGTTTGAGCGATAAAATAGAAAGAACATTAAAGATTTAGGTAGAAACCATTGCTAAGATTTCTCAAGAACAACGGATAAGAGGATTAGCCATTTAGAGTCGTTTTAGAACTTTGTTGGTGGAAGTCAGCTCATATCTGCTCGCCAGTCCCTATTTGTTGCACAACAGGAGAGAATTTCCACTTTTAACCATGCTTTCAATGGATCCCTTCTTGATTTGAGTCCTCATTCTCCCATGGTCAATTTTTAGTTGCTTCGTCCATTATGTGTGTAGTTCTCACGCATCTTAGATGTGTCTTAATTCTGAAGTTCGTCTATGCTTTATGGTTTTATGTTAGCAGGTTGTTACAATTGTGATAATGTGAGAAATTTTATTCTAAGAAAGTTGCTATTTCTTTTCTTTTTATTACTGTAAAACTCACATTGGATTTCTTATTTATTCATGAAATTAAATGGGTTAGTGGTCTGTGTTCTCCTTGCAAGAAGTTGCATATTTTTCTCCTTTGTTTTTGCGATTTTATTTGCTGGAAATTTGTTCTGAGTTGATGTGATCCAGTTGTTTTAAGAATTTAAAATAATATCTTTTTTTTTCAGTTAACTAAAGGTGTTAGTATATTGATAATATTCAAAAAAATCATAAACAAATCAATTCACAAGCTCAAATTCGTATTGGATGAAAACACACTTGAAAACAAATTTTTTGAAATCAATTTATTAAAACCTTTTGAGGAAAGAGGTGAAAGGAATCTCATACCTTACTAATTGATGAAGATTTATGGAGAAACTTGGATCTTTTCAGCCCTTAAATCCTCCACTAGCTTGGTGTCCAATGGGGTTTTTAATCTAGAGAGAGAAAGAATAGAGAAGGAAGAGAGTTTGGGATTGTGAGTTATGAGAGCTTAGATTAGTCTATTGAGGTTGGGATGTTTATATAGGGTGTTAATTAACTTAATTAGACTTACCCTTGCCACATACTAATGACATAACCCCTAAATTAATTAATTGTAACCAACTACAAACGTGCATCAAAGTCAGTCCCTCACAGACTAGATGTCGACCAACAACTTGTCTGTAAGTCGACGACTCCTGCCCCCTTCCGTGCTGCACTTCGATGATGAGTTAAGAGGCTGGTACAAATGGAACATTAGGCAAAATTTCTATGTGTTGATCGACGAATGGGATCGATGTCCTATCAATCCACACTTTCTCCGTTGATTCCGCGTGGGTGCATACTACCCTGGTAGTGCTTTTAACCTCTAAACGAAAGGGGCCTTCTCAAGGGCCATTGGTTGGTCTTTTAGGAGGCATACCCAAGTGATTCGACCATCAATCATCCTTAATACCATTTACAAACCCTTCGCTAGAATTTCTTAAATTTTCGACCCTTAAAAGCTAGTCAAATAAGCTAAGGCACGCTAGTACCTCCATGAACTTGTTTCCGGACGTCATGGACGTTCTAGGACACATTAGTTTCTAGACATACAAAATGAGTTATATTCATTAAAATGAAACTTAAAATAGTTTCTAAAATTTTTTACACTTATATTAGGCTCTACAACACATGTTGGATTTTTGAAGTGTTACATTATCCCGTTCTTAGGAACATTCTTCCAAGAATGACACTAAAATCCTTTGAAAGGAAGGACTATACTCAAGACAAGAAGCCAAACCAACAAAAATACTTCAAAAAAATCAACCATTTTATTTACAAAAGGCAATTCAAATCTCCAATAACTACAGAGAATACTCAACATTACATTATGAGGAATATTCTTCTCACAACAAGAAGAGATCAACATAGAATATATGAGTCAATTATGTCAAAGTTCAACTTACCAATATTCTACATATCATTTCATAAAGACTTACCATGTAAAAATGTACAACATAACTAAAACAAGGAAAATTTCAAATAATTAGCATACCTCACTGTAATTCATTGTAATGATACCAAAAATGCATATTTTGCAAAACATAACGAACAATAAGAAACATAAATTTCACTCATTATTTTCATTTTTAGAAAGAACAAATAAAATTATTTATTAAATAGATAAAGGTAACGGGACTTCATGTCTGCTTTGGCCTCCCATGTTGCACACTCAGCTCGGTGATTCTGCCATAACACCTTTACGGAGCCACCTTTTTATTCCTTAACTTATTTACTTTCCTGCAAAGTATTTGAACTTGAACCTCCACATGAGAAAGGTGATCCTTCATACCAAGACCCCCAAATAGGAACAATAGATTCGGGAACACCTATAAACTCCTTAAAAATAGAATCATAGAAAACCGGATGAACCGAAGTTAATTCTCTAGGCAATCACAACTCATAGGCAACCTTATCAACCCTTTCTAAGATTTCATAGAGACCCTCATAACGAGGACTCAACTTCTCTTTCTTGCAAAATCTAACCACCCCTTTCATTGGAAAAGTTTTCAAACACACTTTATCACCTTTCTTCAAAATCTAATTCCCTTCTCATATGATCGACATAAGACTTTTTCCGACTATAGGAAGTTTGCAACCGATTCCTTATGATATGAATCTTCTCCAAAGTCTTATAAATTAAATCAGGACAAAAATTAAATACTCATCCACTTCAAACAATACAATAAGAGACCTACACCTCCTACCATACAAGGCTTCATAAGGATCCATGTATATGGATGAATGAAAGCTATTGTTATAAGCAAACTCCACCAAAGGTAAATGCTTATCCCAATTTCCCTTGAAATCAATTATACAAGACCTAAGCATATCTTCAAGGGTTTAAATAGTACACTCCACTTGACCATTTGTTTGGTAATGAAAAGCGGATGCTTAGCTTCCCCTTAGTACTTAAGACTTCTTGGAATGACCTCCAAAACCTAGATGTGAATCGTGCACCCCAATCCAATATAATGGATACCGGAATACCATGTGACACAAAATCTCACCTATGAAGATCCTTGCATAATCTTCCGCTGAATAAGTAGACTTGACGGGAATGAAATGAGTGCATTTGGTCAACCTATCAATAATCACCCATATAGAGTCAAATTGTTTTTGTGTCCGAGGAAAACCTACCAGAAAATCAATATTGATATTTTCCCACATCCAAGTAGGAACCTTGATTTCTTGAAGTAAACCACTTGACTTTTGATGTTCGCTTTCACTTGTTGGTATTTTGTACACTTAGCAACAAATTCTGCTATGTCCTTCATACCTTCCCACCAAAATACATCCCTAAGGTCGTGGTACATCTTTGTCGAATATGGTTTCTCAAACCATCTATTTTACGCATACACAACCTTCCATCATTCCTCAAGTAACCATTCCCGCTAAGGATGATGACTCATTAAGCTTGCTTAGAACCAATTCCTTAAACTCAATCAATGATTTATCAAGGTATTTTTCAGACTTCACCTCAACTATTAAAGATGACTCGGAGTTATGATGGATCATGAAAACACCATTTGGAGAATCTTCAAACCTAACACCCAATCTAGCCAACCTAAGAAAATCTTTAACTAGGCCTATCTTGGTTTCCTCTATATGAGACACACATACGACTAAGAGCATCTACAACGACATTGTCCTTGCTGGAGTGATAGAGAAAACTTATGTCGTAATTCTTCAAAATTTCCAACCACCTTCATTGTCGAAGATTCAACTCCTTTTTATTAAACACATATTGGAGACTCTTGTGGTCATTATACACATCAACATGAACATGGTACAAGTAATGCATCCATATTTTCAAGGCAAATACCATGACCTCTAATTCAAGATCATGAGTTGGATGATTCCTCTCATGCACCTTAAGTTTTCTAGAAGCACAGGCTTCCACTTTCCCTTGTTGCATAAGAGCACACTATAAACCCACTTGGGATGCATCACAATAGACAACAAAACCCTTTGTACTCTCCGGTAAAGTAAACACCGGAGTGGAAGTAAGCCTATCATTCAAGATTTAGAAGCTTCTCTCACATGCCTTAGACCACTCAAATTTCTAACTCTTTCGGGTCAAAATAGTCAAGGAAGATGCAATTGAAGCAAATCCATTCACAAACCACCGATAATAAACCGCTTGACCTAAAAAACATCTTATATAGGTTAGAGTCAATGGTCTAGGACAATTCTTGACAGCCTCGACTTTCCTTGGATCAACCTCAACTCCCTCACTAGGTATGATATGTCTAAGAAACGCCACCAATCTCAACAAAAACTTACATTGGCTATACATGTCAAATTATTGGTTCTCCTTAAGCACTTGTAACAACACCCTGAAAAGGTCCATGTGATCACCCTCATTTTTCTAATATACTAAGACGTTATCAATGAAGACAATTCCAAATGAATATAGGTAACATTGAAACACCCTATTAATAAGTTCCATAAATGTCACTTAAGAATTAGTGAGACCAAAGGACATTACTAAGAACTCATAGTGATCATATCTTGTTGCATATGTCGTCTTTAGTGTATCCTCAGCACTCACACTATATTGGTTATACCCACACCTCAAGTCAGTCTTAGAAAAGTAGCTTGCCCCTTGGAGTTGATAAAAGAAGTCGTCAATTTAAGGGACATGATACTTGTTCTTAATAGTGACTTTATTTAGTTTGCGATAATCAAAACACATTCTAAGGGAAGTATCTCTCTTCTTCACAAACAATAATAGAGCACCCCATGGAGAAATACTAGTTCTAATGAACCCTTTGTGTAGTAAATATTTGAGATGATCCTTCATCTCTTTCAATTCGGCTGGAGTCATCTGTTATGGAGAAATTGAAATGGGATTTGTATCCGGTAGCATGTCGATACCAAAATCTATTTCTCGTTTAAGTGAAATACCTGTGGAAATTCACTCACTACAGGGACTGACTAAATAGAATGAATTTCAGAGTCTAAATCTTGGTATCTTACTATATGGTATAAACATCCTTTAGAGATCATTTTACAAGCCTTAGGACAAGACATGATAATACTCCTAGGAATAGAATTTTCCCCATTCCGCTCTAAAACATTTTTATTTGAAAAGTTAAACTTCACCAACCTTGTTCTACAATCTATAGAGACAAAGAATGCATGCAACCAATCCATGCCCAATATGACATCAAAATCCAACATATAAAGTTCTACTAGTTCACCATAAGTAACTCTATTAAGAAGCATTATAGGACAATCTCAACACACCCTCTTTGCACAACTGACTCATTCATCAGGATAGACACCATAAAAGGTTAATTTAGAATGCCAGGTATGATATCAAATTTCATAGCTATCAAGGGAGTAACAAAAGATAATGTAGCACCTGGATCAATTAAAGCATATACATTAATGCAAAAGACTTTCAACATACGGTTCACCAAATCAAGAAAGTCTCTTGCTCACATTTAGAGTGGAGAGCACAAAAGTAATTCTTCTTCGGAGCATCATTAGAACCACTTGAGTACATACTATCCTTGTATTGACCCCTCATAGTTGGGAAATCCCTAACCTTGTGCCCACTTTTACCACAACCAAAACATTTTTCCGTCCTTTTTACTACAATCAACATAGTGCTTCTTATCACACATTCCACAAGTTGACTTCTATGTTGTTGACCTAGTATCCCTTCCCATTTTTGGCTTAGGGTTAGACACCTTGTTATCCTTAGCCGAAGAGAACTGGAGAGGAACGTGATTAGAAACCCTCTTCTTGAACCTACGCTTGTCTTGAATCTTAAGCCTACCCTTAGAAGAACCACCATCAAAAAATCTTGCCCTCTTGGCATCTTTACTCTTCTTCTTAGCCCTTGCCTCATCCATATGTCGATTATGAACCATCGGACAAGTAATGTTCATATTATCATGTAATATGGCTGAATGACACTCCTCTTGCATATCATCTGACACCTCTGTCACAAAATGATTTATTTCATCCCTAGGATTATAAACCACAGAATGAACATATTTTGACAATTTAGTAAATTTCAAGGAGTATTAAAGCACACTCATACCTCCTTGATGAAGGTTGATGAACTCCACCTCTTTATATTTTATCTTCTTCCTAGGAAAGAATCAATTAATAAAGCCTTCTTGAACACTTCCTAAGTCACCGGTCCAATCTTGCATTCGACATACCATGTTTGGGCCACGTCTTTAAGTCGGTAAGTAGATAACTCGGCCTTCTCACTAATTGTCAACCCCATAGCATAAAGAATATTGTTGATTTCATCATTGAACTATTGGGGGTATTGTTCAACCTTGGATCCACAAAATCTAGGAGGATTCATCAAGTATACATAGACACTTCGTATAGGAAGATTAGTTAGTCTTCTACTTTTATTTCACGTAAATATATAGAATATAACATAGTCTAAAAATAGTCGTCATATCTCATAACCATCAGATAAAAGTATATCAAATTTGTCCTAGCGCATATATTAATACAATAATACAACATATAGGTCATACAATCATTAGTACTCAAATGAAAGGAAAGAAACATAAGAGTCTTAATTCTAAAACTACTTCATAGCTATGTATTGGCATTTCCCTCGTAATGTGAGGACCTACAAAAATTTGATGATCAAGAATTCCAAGTCGTTGTTAAAGTCGTCTCCAAAATTTCTTCAACGATGGAACCTAAAATGTTGGGGGAAAAGGAAGAAAATGGGGTTAGTACACCACTTGTACTAAGTATAAGACCATATGCGCACACATCTTTAAATCATGTTAAGAAAAGGGACATTTCATAAAGGTATGCAATTTACTCTGAAAAACTTTATGCACAATCAATAAGACTATACCAATCACTTAGACACATTCATTAAGTCCAAAGCATGTATAAATAAGACTAATAATACTAAGTCTAGACAAGTGAACATGCATATCATAGAATTGGATACATAGTCAACCAACTATATCATCAAGTCATTATAGCAACAAGCATGAATAAGAGTACATTCAACATAATCAAGGCAATTCAATTAGCCACAACCCCTATCAAGTCAACAAGTGCCATGAACAAGCAATGTCCCATAGGCTTATTCAATCAAGTAACACAACTAGGATCATGGATAACCTCCCACTTCACATATTATCATACTTTAGTAACATAGATTAAACATATTCATAAGTAACACCAATCAACATGTAGTATCAATAATGTGAAAGTTCATCATATACATATCATGTACCATTATATGCATTTTGATACATAAGATCATCCTCCTAAGACTTTCTTCAAGGATAACTAGTGCAATGTTTAGGTAGAGTCCCATACTCGTACTTACACTAAGCTAAACCCCTTAGGTTATTTTAGTTAGAGTTAATTATGTTATATCATTTTATCATTTGGAACATCTTACCCTAACCAACATAGACCACATGAGCTATTGTGGAATCCAGTGTCATGGAACCCCACAACGGAAGAAGGTGGACTACTTGCCAAGGTAGAACCAAGACAAGCACATAACAACTACGTGGAACCATTAGCTAGTACTCCTATAGGGGAAACAGAGTTCAAGAACTAGGAGATATACTTGGGACCCTCTTTATGCTACATGCATTGTAGTCTCCAATATCAAGAGTAAATTTGTGATTCAACCTTCCATATGTCGGAAGGGACATCCGCACTCTAGTTCACTCTATGCTAAGATAGAGCTGTTTTCAAATGTCCTTAATGTCTTTATTAATCATAATAACTTAGTGTATCTCATAGGGTCTAACCCTTCTATGAATATCATCATAGCTCAATAAGAATTGCATGATCATAATCCCTTATTACAATTCATATAAGTAACTTTAGAACATTTATATATCACGTCATAATAAGGCAAAACAGTAAGCCATATACCAACCTCATAACATTTACATCTTAAACAACATATCACAATCCAAATTCACGACATTTTAATTCAACATCATACCACCCTATCAATCCTAATGCATACTCCTATACAACATCATGACTTAATCACAATTAACCATAATTGAAGTAAAGGATAGGGATCACAAGACTTACCAAGTCTCATTCATAAATAATCATCTAGGTCTTACCATCAACCCTTTATTCAACCCAATTATGGTATAACATGAAAATAATTCAATTATCAATATGATAAGAATGTTAAATAAATCACTACATCATAATTAAATACTAGTTCATAGCTTAGTACAACAGATATAGATATAAGTCATAATCTAATTCAATTATTCAAGAACTAGAATGTTAGGAATATAATTAAACCTAATTAATTCATGATATATACAATAACATCATCTAGTAGTGATTCAACCAATAACCATGTAAACTGGATCAACATTACACAATTCATATAACGATCATCATTTAGGGTTAAGGTGTAAGTTTCATCTTCTACAAACTAAAGCAATCCATTAATATATACCATATTTATATTATAATACATATTAATATATCAATAATATCAAAAATAAATTATATATAAATCATTCACAATATCAAATTTGTTTTGGATGAAAACCCAATTTTAGCAATCAATTTGATGGAACCCTTAAGGAAAGAGTTCCGAATGTTAAAGGAATCCCATACAATAATAATTCATTAAAATTTATGAAAAAATATTAATATTTTAATCCCATAGACACTCCACTATCTTATTCTTCAATAGAGTTTATTCACTAGAGAGAGAGAGAGAATAAATAGAGAAGGAAGAGGGTTTGGGTTTTTTTGTTCTTATCGATTAGATTATTCTAATGGGGTTGAGGTATTTATATGGGGTGTTAATTAAATTAATTAAGCATCCCTTAACCCCCTAGATAACTAATTAACTCCTTAATCATTTAATTGGAACAAACTAAAGACATTCAACATAGTCATGCCCTCACAGACGAGACCTCGACAAACAGTCGGTCAGTGAGTAGATAACTCCTGCCCGCTGCCATTCTGCACTTCGTCGATGAGTTCAGAGTCTGGTGAACATGGAAAATTATCCAAAATGGATAAGTGTTGGTCTACGGATAGAATCGACGCCCTATCCATCCACACATGCCCCGTCGACACCCGTTGTGGGTGCACACTGCACATGCATTGCTTTTGACCCCAAAATGAAAGGGTCCTCTTTAGGGCACTTGGTTGGTCCTCAAAAAGTATTAAAAATAAATTTGACTATTAATCAACCCTAAAAGAGGTAAGACACCCTTCTGGAAAATTTAATAATTGTTCACCCCTAAAATCTAGTCAAATAGGCTAAAGCATGTGAGCACCTCCTTGAACTAGTTACCAGACGTCATGAACGTTACATGTTGCCTTGGTTTCTATAACTCCTAAATATATTATATTAATTAAAATGGACCTTAAATCTATTTATAAACCTTTTTAGACTTGTGTTATTCTCTAGAACAGATCTTGAATTTTCGAAGTGTTACAGATGTGGCCTCATCCTCATTACTATATGTATTATGATGATCATGTCCTTGTTAGTATTACTTGATATATAATGATGATGTGTGTAGGTTATTATATGAAGTATGATCATTTCTAGCTACATGTTAGTAATGTGAAAGAATGTGTTCTTGTATTGATTTTGTTAGGTGATCATGTTAGACAATGATTATGTCCTTATGTGTATAGTCTTAATGATAATGCATTGCTGTTCCTAATTTATTATATGAGTCTATAATTGTTATATTGGTGATGTTATAGTAGTGGATAGAATGACCTAAAGATGACGTTGGTTGTGCGTATGTGCTTGTAGAATGACATGCTAAAGGTTATATGAGAAGTATGCTATGTCTTGTGTGGTAAACTTGTGTCCCTTAGTTGATAAATGTATGAAAAAGAATATGTTATGTCTTGAATTAGGATTATAAATCTTCTTAGTCTTTAATGATTTAATGACATCTGACCTTGAATGATGTTAAAGGGGATTCTTTGTGAAACATTGAACCTAGTGGTAGGATTATGAACCTTGAAGTCAAAAGTCGTTATTGTATCCTTGTTGTAATGAATAATGGGCATAAGTTTGATTGGGTTGAATCAGATCATATCATCCTTAGGAAAGTTATAATGAGTTATCTTTATCTCCATTATACGGTAGCCCTGGAATAGGGTGAATGTTATTGGGTTATGAACTTTATATGGAACCCTTTTGTATGATTTTTCAATGTAAATAACTCTATGAGACAAACGCTCTCACCGAGTTAGTATGGTAAGGGATGTGGCTCTATTTCAAGGATGAGGCTAGCTTAAAATGTAAGACCTTCATGTTTTCGAACCATGTGCCTCCATGGGATGTGTGCAAGTTCTATCATTTTCAAGTAGAACACCCTCTAACAGAGTAGGTTACAACTCCTGATTCCATGCTTTGCTACCATGATCTATGCTGATAATTTCCAATTCTCATCAGATGGTATACCTACTAGTGTTGGAGAATTTCTATGAAGTTTAAGTGGTGGTATAAGATGCTATCTTGACATTGCACAACAGGCTTTGAAGATTTTAGTGAGAGTCCTTAAGTCTTAACAAGACCATTATTTGAATGTCCTTACATGATGAATGAGTCTCAAATAAACTAATGAATGTAATGACTTAATGTAAGAAATCATTTAAAATAAAGAAGTATTTATCTAGAGTAGTTAAAGGTTATCTAGTTATGGTGTGAAGGGGGCATAGAAATGGTCACTCTGTATCTTACAAGATAAGTCTTAAGAATGAATCTAGTTAGGGAACTTGGGTGATTATTTAAACATGACCCAAACTTAGGTAGTCTTAAGGATTATTTAGGTAATCCTGGAGAGTTTAATCATGGACTTTATCTTGTTTATTTACTTAAGTAAGTCTTTTGATAACCTCTAGAAGGGAGAATGTCATATTATTTGTATGTTGTTGTATAAAGAGAGAATGATCTTATCCTAGGTAATCTATGGTATTTCTTAAGTGTGTTTGTAAGGGATTGTATGGGCTGTCACTTTACAACTCACACAAGTGAACCTTCGAATCCCCTATGGTAGGACGATCTCATGCCTATGTGGTTGATGTATTGTAGGTGTGTATATATCATTATAGGTGGTATTAAGGATCATTTAGGTGTGCCTAGAGAGGGTGTATGGGCGGTCTCTGTTTGTTTCACTTAAATGAGTCTTAGGATAGATTTTAGTGAAAGAATGACATACTAGAAATGATCCAAGTTGAAGTTAAATAACTTCACTGTAACAGTGAGTTAGTGCACTGTAAAGTGACATGGTTTCACTATAATGTTTATAAAAATGTTATTTTTATTAAGTTATTTTTTATGTGATTCTAACATGTTAAATGTTGTTCTTATGCTTACGATATAATGTTTTAATCAAAAGATGCATATTTCTAATAAAAGTCCATTTTCATTATTTTTATTCATTATGTCATACTTACTACATGTGTTTGTACTATTTCACGCTTTTATCTATCTCTAAAGTGATTCGTACGTGAATGTGATTTTTGGAGATAAGCTTGGATAAGATGATCATTCAAACAAGTTGAAGTATGCCCTCATTTGACTCGAGGGCATATATGTCTTTTATTTCTTTCATTGCATTATTGTAATAATGAATTATTTCAATATTCGGATTTTATGGGTCATGTCCCAAATAATCTTGAGTGTAAAGATTTAATGAAAAGAGACTTTGTATTTCCTATGGATTTAATATGAAATATGTTTATGATATTCGTGGGAAAAGTTTAAATATTTCACTAATTTTCATATGTTTATATGCAATGAATGATACAGAAGGGCTTGTACAAGTCCTTTGATTGGTCAAGTACGTCAGTCCACGATTTGATATTGGCACTATCTTCTAGGGTGTGGTCTTGGGTCGTGACAATATATGTATCAGCGTATATATTATGAAAGTGGTCTTAAGAAACAAAAAGTCTCACCAAGTAACGTTTAGTAGAGTCTTGACCATCAATGTGAGTGGTAACACATCTATGGGCGATAGACTATCGAACGATAGAGTTTCCCTCTTTTCTACTCTGATGTCGTTCCGTAGGGTAAAGGTTATGAGTGCTCTTTTCTTATGGTTTTCCTTGTATTATAGGAGATGAATACAAGGACACCGACTAGGAGAGTTGTGGAGAATGATGTGTGTGAAAAAGACTCCTCCTCAAGTTGAGAATGTTGAGCAAGTTACTCAAGATCCTTAAGGTCATCAAGTCCTTATCGTGGGTCAAGGTAACGAGGTTTCAATTGTTCCGGTGGAAATTACTAATGGGGAGCTTAGAGAGGCTTTACTTTCTATAACTCGAGCATTGACTAACCATGTGAATATGGCTATTGCACCTACAATGAATGTTTTTGAGAGCACTATGATATCTAGAATTAGAGATATATGAGTATAAATCCTACTTTATTTCTTGGCTCGAAGGTGGGAGAGCATCCCAAAGGGGTCCCACATGGAATGTATAAGGTGTTGTTTACAATGGGGTGACTACTAGGGAGAAGGCGGAATTAGTTTGGTACCAATTAAGGGAGGTTTATAAAGTATGGTACACTCAATGTAAAAATAATACGACGATTATGTCAGTTCCTATTGATTATGAAGAGTTTAACGAAACATTTCGTGGAAAGTACTTTCCCTGTGAGAGGAGAGAGGTGAAGATTGCGAATTCAATATTCTCAGGCAAGGCAATATGAGTGTTGAGGAGTATTATTTGATGTTGTCTAGTTTGTTTATATTTGGTCCATCCCTTGTGTCTAACCCTAGGGATGAGATGAGTAGGTTTGTGATGGGAGTTGCCAACCTAGTGAATTAAGAATGTCATACAACTATGCTACATGATGATATGAAAGTAGATAGACTCATGATGTATGCTCAATCAATTAAGAAGTATAAACTTGGTAGGATTTCTAGAAACTTGAAGAGGAGTGGTTCTAGTGATCAAAGTTAACGTAGGTTCAAGACGATGACTCAAATTCAAGATTGACCTAGTGCTCCTAATGGCAAAACTTGAGAAGGGAGATGGTTCTCAAAATTGAAAGTCTACATGTGCTACTTGTGGAAACATGCACTATACGGAATGTCTACAGGGAACCGAGAGTTGCTTTTTATGTTGTAAGGATGCACCAAAGTGAGGGATTGTCCTACTAGAGATGGTAAGCAAGTTGCTCCTAATGTTTCAGTGTATGATGCTCGAAAGGCGAAGGCTTGTTTCTACGCACTTTGGACAAGAGGATTAAAGCCGAATGAGAGTGATGATAATGATGGTAAGTTCCTATATATATTTTGAGTATGAGTTCCTTCTAAGTCGGGGAGTATTGTTAGTAGATGGGTTAGATGGTCCTAGAAGTATGTTGCATGTGCATGGTGTTTCGAAGTCTTGTAGAAATTGAATTTCATTGATTATTCCATTGTGTATTTCATGAAGTTATGATTATGTCGGAAGATTTTATTTATATAGCTTTATCTTGCATATTAGCATGTTTCTATCATGAATTTCCTGGATGTTGCATTTTTAAAAATATTGCATAATTCACTTTAAAGGTTTCCTGCTCAATGTAGAAAAAATTAAAAAATCATTCATTCATTCTTTGGTTCAAAGTTGCTGCAAGGTGGTTTCAAATAATGTATATGAGCATGATATTGAATAAAAAATTAATTTTTGCTATTTAGAATGAAGGATATGTGTCTTATGGCATAATGACTTGTAGAATAAATTCTAGTTTCTTGTTGTGATGTGATTCTCTTAACTAGGTGAAATTGATGTTTAAGTCTTCGGATCATGACAAGTGTCATTCGAGGACAAATGTTGACAATGTGGGGAAGATTGTAATGCCTTGAAATAACTTAGGTGAGGCTAGTGTATAACATGTTTAGAATGAGTTTCCAAGTTCCTAAAATTGTTTATAATGTTGTATTGACGCAATATATAATGTTTTAGAAGCATTGGAAGTCAATGTCATGGGACGACCAAGACATTCTACGACTAAGTCACCTATGGGACTCATGTGTTTTTATGTGCCTATATGTGTGTTTTATGGTATTATGTGGTCATTATATGAGATACTATAGTTTTAATACAAATTATGTGTAGTTTCATAAAGTTTTAATGTCAAACGTCCAAGAACGTCCATGATGTTTGATAGGTTTGCCTTAAAACTACCTTCTGTGTCATGGCATATTTCTATGAGTTTTATGTGTTCGTGTTGGATGAAATTGATTTGGGAGGCCCTAAAATTATTTAAAATCATATTCGGGATGGAAACGTCCTGGCAAAATTCCCCATGGACCAATACAGGGTCTTTGAGGAAACACCCTTCTCAAGAGCCAATACTGTCTAAAACAGTCGTATACAACGGAGGTAGTAGAAGACTCGTTGGCCATTCTATGCCCCGACGATGGTAGTCGTTGTCATGACTAAGTTGTGGTATAAGTATATTCCCAAGACAAGCCTCAATCCCTAATCACAGACCAATAAGACAGTCGATTGGTAGGGAAACGAGCCATCATCTGGCAATCGATTGTGAGGACTAGTTCCTGTGCAGCTTTAGTGTAATTTTTGGGGTGAAGTGGTAAATTAACCCCGCGTCCAAATAAGACTTTGGGCGGATACGTAGGGGTACATTTGGTATTTAAAAAATGTTTGTAAGCCTTAAACAGTCGGAGAATTCATTCTTAAAAAATCAAAACCCAAAACATCCTAAAGAGCTTGTATTGGAGATTTGAGTGCTTATTTTTCATCAATTTCGTGTATTAACATTATTGAGATATGTTTTTTTATCCTTGAAACTCTATTCATCAAGGAGCACATCATCAAAGTAATTTTTAAAAGCTAATTAAAAGATGAGTTTTTTAAATTGAAATTTATCCATGGGTTCTTGCGTTATATATTTTAAATCATTGAATATTGATTGAATTGTTGTTAATTTGATGATTTTACTCAATTAACTTATGAAACCATGTAATTGATGAACCCTAGTTTTTGACTACTTTATGGGTTAACTGATATTGACTTACTGCTTAAGAATTCTAGTGTAGTTTTCTATGGGCTATTGAATGATGGTATAATTATATTCAATTGATATCTAAGTTTTCTTATATTGATAAATCTATATTGAATATGCCTATATTCATTGAGTATTATAGTTTATGTATTGAATTGTTGATTATAGCCATGGGTAAATGCCTTATGGTAATAAATTGTATTGTTTAACTATGCATTGAAGGGTTGAGAATGGATTCGTGGTAATATGACCTAATTCTCTTTAATTTATGTTAATTTGACTTGAACAATGTAGTGATGGGCATGGTACACTTATGGTGGCGGTGCTGTGGGAATGATGTGGCCTCGTTGGCGTTAATTTATGTATAATGATGATCATGGCCTTGTCAAATACTTGATATATTATGAAAATTTGTGTAGTATATTATGTTAAGTATGATCATATATACCTACATAATAGTAATGTGAAAGTATGTGTTCTTCTTGATCATGTTAGACTATGACTATGTCCTTATGTGTGTAGTCTTAGAGTTGATACATGATTTTTCCTACTTTATTATATCAGTCCATAATGGTTATATTAATTATTTCTTAGTAGTTGATAGGATGACCTAAATATGATGTTGTTTGTGACTATGTGCTTCTATAGTGACATGCTAAAGTTTATACTTAGAGTACGGTGTGTCTTCTGTGGTTTCTTTGTGTCCCTTACTTGATACATGTATGAATATGAATATGTGATGTCTTGACTTAGGGTGATAAAGCCTCTTAGTCTTGAATGTATAAATCACATTTGACCTTGACTGATGTTAAGAGGGTCTTTATGTGAAACCTTAAAACTATTGGTAAGGTTATGAATCTTGAAGTCGAAAGTCGTAACTGTATTTTTCTTGTAATGAATGATGGACTTAAGTTTGATTGGCTGGAATGACATCATATCATCCTTAGGAAATTTATGACAAACTTTCATTGTTGCCATTGTAAGGTAGCCCTAGAATTCCTCATTGGTAGGGTGAATGTGTGGGGTTATGAACTTGATACGGAATCCCTTCGTTTTATCCTTTATTGTAAATTACTCTATGAGAACAAAGTCTAGCACCGAGTGAGTATGGTAAGGGAACTGACTTTAGTTAAAGGATTAGGATAGAGTACAGAGTAAGACCTTCATATTGCCGAACCATGTACCTACATAGGATGTTTCGAAGTTCTACCATTGGCAAGTATAACACCCACCATCGGAGTAAGTTAGAACTCCTGATTTCATGCTTTGCTAGCATAGTCTATGTCAGTTAATGCCTATTTGTAATACTCCAAAATGTGATAGTCTGTCTTGATTCTAACTTGTTCATCTTAAGTTTATAAGTTCCTAAAATTACATATAATATGGTTTATAGTAAGTGTGTAAAGCTTAAAGTTATTTGTGTCAAGGGAAGATCAAAACGTTTGACGACTAGTCACCACTTTGGATCTTATCTCAATGCATGCTTATATTCGTGTTTCATGAGCTTGTGATGAATCTAAATGAATTATTACTATTTTTAATGATAGTATATGATGTTTCGAAATGTTTGGAGGTCAACCAACCAAGAACATCCCAGGCATTCAAACAATAGCCCTTAAGATGTTCAACGTGTGTCTTGATGGGGATTGGCTTTTTTGGATGTCTTGTAGGTGTTTTTTTGGATGAAACTTATGTGGAAGGAATAAAACTTTATAAAGTTTATA